GTAGAGCAATCATGGGCCATATATGAATTGATATGCTACATTAAAATGGTATTAGTAGCTTTTTAGTATTTGTATTATGAAAACCTAATTATTATGCAAAATAGAAAAAGACAAAACTAGAAGTCGCATGTCAGAGACTATTATCTAGGAAATTTTCAACATCCAAGTTATTTTTAGTCTTTACTGGTTCTTGCTAGAACCCTCTGTATCTTTAACATAATTGGACGCCCCCCCCCAAAAGCCCGGTGCTAAACCCAATTTCTTCCCACTGTAAGTCAAAAAGTTCATATTCAATTTTCATTTCTTGTACTTAAAATTCCAACACTGCCCATTTTATTGGAGTTTAATACTGCTGCTTGTCCTCCAACTTTCAATGCTCCAATTCTCGTAAAGTGTGTACAGTGCATAATGAATTAGCAGTGTTTGCCTTCGTGCACAAGGAGGTTTTACAGGGAAAAAGGGAAAGCAAACTAGCTAGATGGATTCACACAAAGAGGCAGTAAGACAGAATGACAATCTGATATAGGTCTTCACTATTAGCTTCTCCTTCCTTAGCATATTTGGTACTCGAGGGGAAGGTGTTTACAGCTTCTATCCCCACTCCCCATTTTTTTTTCTGAAATAAAAAGGCCTTTATAATAGTGACACAGTTCCATATTTAACTAAAAAGTATTAAAAACAACAACCGTAGCAACAACAATAACAATGAAAACTTCAGGGCCAAGGGCTAGAAGACACACAAATTATCTAACTGAACTTTCAGATTGAGTTAATCCTAAATTTACCTACAAAGTCTACATTTTAAATCTTGTAGCAGATGCAGACACACTCTCGCACTTTATAAACTATTAGAAAGTGTGAGTTCATTCAAAATTACCCAAGTTTTGATGGTTGTCAATTCAGCATAGGGAAGTCAGAAACTTTTCAGTGAAGGCAATATCAGTATTTTCTGCAGTCTTCCCCGAAGTACTTCCATTCACCACACAATTACATCCCAGAGAATGAGGGGGACTAATACTGCATTGTCTTCAAGATTCTGCTGTCTCTCCTGCCCTCCACCCCTGCATCCTGTTGCTCAAAGAAAAGAACAAAGGACTGTCTACCTCCCACTGTTTCCTTTTTGCATTTTTGCTCTTAAAATCAAGTCAATGGGTTAACACTCCCCCCCCCCATTATTTGTAGTTAATTGCTATTATCAATCTGTACTTTCCTCTTGAATGATTTTTAAATTATAAACTTTCTTCTAAAAAGTTAGTCTGGTCTCAGCCAGAACCACAGCCAATTAAATACATAATTTACTCTGAGAAAGTTAACAGGAACAATCATGGATGTTTTCAAACACACATAAGGAC